GCCTTGCCTTCAGTTTATTAGAAGGATGGGTGGGGCCAAGGCCCAGTAAGCAGATGCTCATGTGATATGGCTGTCACAAGAATGCTACCCCCTCACAGATGCCACCAGCGAAGAGGCATGCAAGAAATTAAGTATTTCCCTTTCTTTTCAACCTGTTTGATATTTTGGTAATTTAATGTTTTTATAGGTAATATATTCACATGGTTCAAAAATTATATACATTACACACACACACACACACACACACACACACTCACACACAATTATATTGAAAGGTCTTTTTCCTACCGGGTTCCCCTTTCCCCTACACCCTACCTCACTCCCAGTCTCTGATGTTATTAGTTTCTTGTGTATTTTTCAGAATTTCTTTATACATATACAAATACACACACACACATGCACACACCACACTGCCACCCTTGTTTTTAGATTAATATCCAAGTTTCAGACTCTTTTTAGAAAAGAAAAAATGCTGGATGGGAGACCATGCTGCTACTAACACTTCAGTGAAAAGGAGTCTGTAGGTATTTTCTTCCTGGGGGCGCTAGCTTGGCCTTTGTCCTTTGCTTTTGCATTTTCTAAGTCAGGCTTAATGAAGCATAACTTACATACAGTAAAATTCAGCCCTTTTTAGTGGAGAGTTCTGCAAGTTTTGACAAATGCACACAGTCACGTAGCCACTATCACAATCGAGATATAGAACAGTTCTCTCCCCTCCCCACTAATTCTTTCATGCCATCCCCAGTCCCTAGCAATCACTGGTATGTTTTCTGTCCATATATCTTTGCCTTTTCTAGAATGTCTTTTGTAAATAGAATCATACGTGATTCCACAAAAATGTGCAACCTTTTGTGCCTGGCTTTTTTCACTTAGCACAGTGCGTTTGACATTCATCCTAGTTGTGTATGCTGCGTGTATCAATAGCCTATTTCTTATTAGTGGTGATTTGTATTCCATTGTATAGATGTACCACAGTCTGTGTATCTGTACATCAGTTGAAGGACCTTTGAGTTGTTTGCAGTTTGGGGCTACAAACATTCACATACATACAAGTTTTTGTCAGAATGGACATTTTCATTTCTTTTGGGTGAATATATATGAGTGGGACTGCTAGGTTATATAAAGAGTATCAGCTCCATTTCATTTCTTTCTTTCTTTCTTTCTTTTTTTTTTTTGAGACAAGGTCTTCTTGCTCTGCCTCCTAGGCTAGAGTACAGTGGCATCATCATCATCATCATCATCATCACTCACTGCAATCTAAAATTCCTGGGCTCAAGCAATCCTCCTGCCTCAGCATCCCAAGTAACTGGGACTACAGGTGTGCACCACCACACTCGGCTAATTTTTATAGAGATGGGGTCTTACAGGCTGGTCTCAAACTTCTGGCCTCAAGAGGTCCTCCCACCAAGGCCTCCCAACATGCTAGGATTACAGGCATGAGCCACCGCACCTGGCCTCATTTCATTTTTAATCTTTACAATAACCCCATGACCTGGTCTCATGAACCTTATTCCCAGAGAGGAAAAAGTCTAAGGGCAAGAGAAGTTCCATGGTCTGCCTCCCCACATCACTCAGCAGATAAACGGCAGATATGGGGTTTGAACTCAGAGCCAACAGAAGAAACCTCCTGCTAGCAACTGAGATGTGGTACTGTCATCCTGCCACTCTGTTCCAAGATGTCAAAGACACCTAAGTGTAAGGGCTAAAGGTATTAATAAAACACAAACTTCACTTTCTAATTTTGGCTGCCTTACAAGAATTTAGACCTGTGCTGGAGAAAATACTAGCGAGGGGCCCCTCTAGGCTGGTGGCATGCTCTGCTGCCTTGAGCCTAGCAGCTTTCCAAAAGGGAATGATTCTTAATGTTTATGAGTGGGTATGGAATGTGCTCTTAAAAGTTTATAGTTCATTTAACATGCATCATCTCATCAGAGAACAACTTCACACAGAAGGTGGACCTGTCTCTCTGCGACCCACCCACAGAGCCACCAACACCTGGTAAGCTGCATGCAAAAAAAAAAAAAAAAAAAAACCTATGTGTGACCCTTATTCTTTCATTGGGTTCCAAGCTGCACACTCTTCCCCTTGTGCAATGACAACCTGGAAATTCCATACACCCTCCTGGCACGCCTGGATTGGCAGGGTGGTGGCCTGGAAAGGGCACAGGCTTGGGACACCAGTCCTTGCTTTGGGAGTTTGTGGGGAATTAGGAGGGCTGTAGGAGTGCCCAGTGTGGGGCCTGGCACCCCAGAGACAGGCAGCAAATGTTGGTCCCCTTCCCTTTCCCTAATAGAAGAGTCAAGTAGCATTGCCGGGAAACAAAACCCTGTAGGTTAGACTCCATCACCAATGTGCTCAGTACTTCAACCAACCCATCTCCCCCACTCCATGCTTTAGGTTTCCGCATTCATAAAGTGCAATAAGTCAAGTTCACTATATGGAATGTAATTATAAATGTAGACTTTCTTTCAATGGAAAGAGGAGGGATCAAAGGAAAAACTCCATCATCTCCTGGCTACCCAGAGGGCCTTGCCCTCCCCAAGCAGAGATGAAATTTTATAACTATGGGGAAGGTATCAGAAGCAGCTGGAAGAGGCGTGAATCGCATTGATCACACAAGGCCAGACCCGCAAGGGGAGGTGAGAGAGTGTTTCATTGGGTCATAGAACAAACAGATTCTCTGCCTCACACCTGTAGGAGTTTATGAGTCTCTATAAAGTGGGAATAACAAATGCACCTGCCTCAGCTTGTGGGCATGGGGACCTGGAGGGCATGGATACCTCAGTGGGGTGAAACAAGACCATGTGTGTGAGCCAGAGGTCTCCCATAAATTCCATTTGGCCCACACACAGGGTAACCAACTCGTCCTGATTGGCAGTGAGAGTTCTGCATCCCAGGAAACCACTTAGTCCTGAGCAAACTGGAACAGTTTCATCGCCCTACCTACTAGGTCATGTTTGAAAGATGAATTCATAGCCAATGTTCACAATTTGGAAGACTTCACATTAAATATTCCAGAGGTCCAGAATATCTTAAAAACTGGAGGACCTGGAAACTCTGTGCCCACATTTGGACACAGAAACAATGCGCTGGGGCTGGGTGGGAGCAGCTTCTCCCAGAGGGATCAAGCATTCGCCACTTTGCCGCAGTCCCCACTCCTCCCTCTTGTCTTACACCCACCCATTCACTTCACTCCATTGCCTGCCCAACCCTTGTAGCAACGGAGTTTGCAACCCTTGATACAAACTCACTCTAACCTTTGAAGAGCTTAAAAATTTAAGAGATGAAACCTTTTTTAAAAGCTGCCCCTAGGTTGTTCCTTTTCAAATGATCCAAGATAGGAACATTTTAGTGGCTACAAAACACCATCAATTTTCCTACTAGTGTTTATTAAAAAACAAAGGAAGGAAAACAGTAACAATCTATATTGTTTGCCATAAAACTTAAAGGATTGTCATTGTTTAATGGAAAAGAAAAATCAAACTCAGCTGGTTTCCTCCTGAATTGACCCTCAAGCACAAATTCTATTTGCAAGTGACAGAAACTGAATCCAAAGTAGTTTAAGCAGAAAGAGAGAAATTGATTTAATGACATCTGTAATCAAATTACAGATCAGAGGGAGTGGATATCTGGATCCAGGGTCAAATGAATTTAGAGATTCCGAGTTCTGCCCAAGCCAGAACTGTGTTCCAGCTTCTTTCTGCAAATCTGCTCCACGATCTCAGGCCAGCTTCCCCACAGGGAGAAGGAAATGAACAAAGGCAGCTCTGAGCTCACCTCCTTACTATATGAAACCCAAAAAAGGGGGAAACAATCTTGGGAAGAGGGAATATTCTCTTTTCTACCATTTAGAAAAATCCTAGGGAAGAATTTTGGGCTTAGTTTCTATTCCTGTTTCCAGGCCAAACAGGGGTCTGTTCCCAGAAGAAAAAAGGGATGGGTGATAGGGAGGACCAAATCATAACCACCAACAGGTTGTGACTGGGGGGGTTTAGTGATCTCTCACGTCCTCAATGTTGGAAGCTCCTCTATGCAGTCTAGTTTTTTGGTACCAATTATAGTAATCATACTTGCTTATTATGTGCCAGATACTATTTTAATTGCTTTGCATATTAAATGCATAGGCATAAATGCACATTGTCTCATTTAATCTCCTCATGACCCCCTGAGGGAGTTTATTATCCTTGTTTTACAAATTGGGAAAGGCACAAAGTAAAGTAGTTGAGACTCTTGCCCAAGTGGCAGACCTGGGCTGTGAACCCAGGAAGTCTGGCCACAAATCATACAGCCCAGTCATATCACAGCTGCCTATCTGACAGAGCTATATACTAGATTGTAAAAGATTTGTCATAAATACCTGCTTGCTGGCAGCGTTCAAAGGTGTGACCACTAATGGTGTGGCTTTCCATCTGTGAGTGTGGGTGGGGGACTGGGTGAGAGGTCCCCCGGATTCCTGCCATGCTTGCTGCTCGTGCTGGGGAAGCCAGCTTTGATCTGTCCCTGAAGCCATTGGCCACAGTGCTATCTGTTTATCTAGCCTCCACCAGGCACCTTGGCTCAGACTCTCCCATTGCTGTGTTTTTGCTTCTCACCAAATCTGCTCCCAGTGACCCAAGCCCTGCATTACTAATCAGAAAAACCACGTCTTGATTTTTTGTTTTGTGTTCCTGCTCCAGACTGTTCCTGACAGAATACAAATAGCAACATGTTCGTTGATTGTCTGGACTTTAGGGGACTTTGATTCAATTGAACAAATGTGTATTGAGTTTCTACTCTGAGCCTGACTATGTGGCCAAGGGTTATAGCAATAAATGAAAAACAGACTCTGCCCTAAAAAATTAAGGTTACATTTTTTTTTTAAAGTACTTGTCTCTAAACTGCTCCATTCTGGAGTAGGCAAAAGCCTTCCTGATAATCTGTGTCCTTTCAGTTTCTTGGCTTTTTCAATTCCTCCTGAGGGCAGTTTTCATCGACAGCTGGAATATCTTTTTTCCCCCTAGGACTAAATCAGACTTTTTACTCAGACCTAATGAAGACTTCTCCTTTCACCACCTCCAACCAGGTGAATTGATTTGCTTGCTACATTATTAACCTGTAGGAATTAATCTTGTCTAGTATTGTCTCCTGGTCCACATGCCTTCTTTGGAAATGTCCTATAGCCACAGTTTTTGGTAGGTTTAAGGAGCCATGTTTTAATCACATGATTTGTCTCCTGGCCACAGTTGATTGGTTCTGAGTGATCACTTGACCCAAGGGTGCCCATCCATAGGCTGAACTGAGCCAATCAGCTTAGTCTTTGAGATTCTGACTTTAAGAGTTCAGAGAGTGCATAGGATGGCTGGTCCTGGAGTAGGAGGGTATTGTGGTGTTACAGTACCAAGCCTGCATCAGGTAAAATCCTAATAAGAGAGAGAGAAGCCAAAGAATGAAGCCTACATAGAGAAAGGGCGGAAGTAAGAGATTATCCAGGAGACACTACTGTGAAAGAGAAAGGAAGGGAGGAAGGGTAATGATTGATTTCCCTGGTTGAGCCCCATTGTGTCCCTTTGAACACCACTTCTTAGCTTTGGATGTCTGCTGTATCTTTCAATAAACTCTCAATTCATTTCAGCAAGTTTGATATGGCCTTTGCTTTTTGCAAACAAACTGACTAGAACATCAAAACATTTTTCCATATCACCATTATCATAATAAAGGTCAGATATTCTGGCAATTTCCAATGGATCAAGAGGTCTTTTAATTCATTTTTCCATCTGAGATATCCACTACTTTCACTAGCCTCTCTGCCTAGCACCTGGGCTGTACTTAATAAAAGCTTGATGAAAGAATGAAGGAATATTCATCTCCTGTAAATTTCTCTGCATGGCTTTGCAGCCTTCTCCCATCTGGCCCTGTATCTAACCTCATTACCCACTACTCTTCACTACACACCCTCCACTGCGGTTAGACCAGTCTCACCAAGGCATCCGGCTCACCTCTCTGGGCCTCCTGCTGGAATGCCCTCCTTCCTCTTCTTCATCTATTTATCCTTCTAATATCAGCCCCCTCTTTCTTCATTCATCCTTCAAATATTTACTGAATGCCCACTATGGGTGGGGCATTATGCTAAATGCCAGGCTACCGTGCAGAACAAAAGAGATGAGCTTTCTGTGTCCATGTTGCTTATTGTCTTAAAAACCTTCCCCATGAAGCCTTCTCCAACAACCGCCCCCCATCTCCCACTCATCTTCTTCCTCTCTTACCCCGTCCGTGTAAGACTGATTCTTAGGAACTCACACCACTGTCTGTTAACAGTTTCTCTTTAGTTTGTTTTGCCCACCAAGCCTCCTCCTGCTAACTGGATTTTATGTGTCTTGAGGGCTGGAGCCTAAGTTTCGTACTTTTTCTATTTATATTTATGTGGCTCAGCACTGGCGACCCAGTAGGCACCTAAAAAATAACTCTTCACTGCCTTCTTGCTTGATTGAAAGTGTCTCCTGCCCTCACGGCCTGGAAAATGGAAGGACAGAGAGGTATTTGTCTGTCCTTCCAATCCCAGGAATAAACATTAGCCTGGGTTTCAGCTGATCCCAATAACTCTGGCCATAAAGCAGCATCTAAATCCAGGGTAGAGACGAACAAATACAAGTTTTATTTGTTCTGTTTCATCCCGGGTGTTCTGGGGGAGGGCTTCACAAACCTCCTCGCCACAAACCCACGCTAACAAACAAGAAGCTATTTCTCTGGCAGCCTCTTGTACAGCGTCCTTTACCTTAGCAGTCAACTCCCTTGTCTCCAGCACTTCTGAAAGACACCTTTCAGCTCCCTGCATCTTTACTGGGTGGGAGGGAAAGAAAAAACTGGGGGCACTAGATTGCATTCTCTCCCCAGACATAAGCAAAGGTGGTTCATCCCGGTCTGAACCCAGCAAAACCTCACCGCAGAATTTCTCTGCATAAAGAAAGTGCCTTTTGGAAATACAAAGTTGCTCTTTCAACTCAGGATGGGAAAAAATAATCCACCAACCAACCTCAAACCTGCACTTGGCCAAAATCCTGAGGTTGATGGCAGGATCGAAGTGAATCATTTCTCTTTGCTCTGATTGCATCAGCGACAGGCAGCTGGGAGCAACTTGGCCCCCAGAAGAGGCCTCATTCCATGTTTGTGCCTAAGTCTGATTCCCTTTTTTTCTTGTAAGCAGGGCCATCTCAACTAACGCGTGATGGGAATTGTGTTCAACCCAGGTGGCTGAGTCCAAGAACCGATAGTTCTGCGGCAGAATCTGTTGTATCCATTAGGGGCTGTGTCTCTTAAGTCTAAACCAGCTCGCTCGCTATCGCTCTCTCTCTCTCTCTCTTTCTCTGTCCCCTGCTTGAGAGTTTCTGTGATTTCTCTGACATGAAGCCTTAGCTCACTGGTATCCTAAGTTCTACACAGTGATAGCAATGACCACTTTTTGAGCAAAGTTCTCCAGAGTACCCTGCCCTTGCTTGGATGTTATTTATGTGGTATTTCACTGGATTCTTAAAATACATACACACACACACCCCACACACACACCCATGCACACACACACAACCCTATGAGTTAGGAGCCCATTTTATAGATATGGAAACTGAGAACCAGAAAAGTTAGGTGGCTTGTCCACAGTTGATAAGTGCCTGAGCTAGGACTTGGCCCTAAGCCAGCTGACTCCAAAGGCCACACCTTTTGTTTTGTTTTGTTTTGAGACAGGGTCTCACTCTGTCACTCCAGGTAGAGTGTAGTGGCATCATTATAGCTCACTGCAACTTCAAACTCCTGGGCTCTAGTAATCCTCCTGCCTCAGCCTCCCGAGTAGCTGAGACTACAGGCATATGCCACCATGTCCAGCTAAGTTTTCTATTTTTAGTAGAGACAGGGTCTCGCTCTTACTCAGGCTGGTCTGGAACTCCTGAGCTCAAGCAATCCTCCTGCCAGGCCTCCCAGAGTGCTGGGATCACAAGCGCAAGTCCACACTCTAAATCACTATGCTAAGGAGTCTTTCTTTCTTCTCATCTTTCCAAGGATTCCCCATTCTCTAAAGGCTGAAGAAAATTCCACCCCTTTCCAGATTTCTGCATCCTACTCTGAGCCCTCCCTTATCTGACTTATTTCTTCCTACCTATTAGCACCTTCTGGGACATTCTGAAATAATCAGTCCTTCCTGCAATAAATATTGAGCACCTAGGTATGCCAGGCACTGTTCTGGGAGACTCAGCTGTCAACGAAACAGAAAAAATCCTTGCCCTCATGGACTTTGCATTCTAGTGGAGGGATACAGACACTGAAGAATATAAACACATAAAAATTTATATGTATCACATGACAGTCAGTGCTAAATTAAGAAATAAGGCAGAGGTAGGAAATAGGGAATGTGTGAAAAAAGGCACAATTTTAGACAGGGTGGTCAAGGCAAGCCTTACTGAGAAGGTAATACCAGAATTAAGATCCTAGCACTCTGGGAGGTGAACTATGGATGGGGAAGGGCACTTGAAATGGAGGGAACAGCAATTGCAAAGGCACGGAGGCAGGAGCATGCCTGGTGTGTTCAACAAATGGCAAGGCGGCCAGAGTGGATAGAGTTGAACAAATGAAGGCAAGAATAGTCCAGAATAGGGTGAGAGCAGTAAGGAGAGGAGGCCAGACTCTGTGGAGCCCTGCGGGCCCTGGCGAATAGACTGTGTTGGTATTTATTCTCGGTGGAAAAGGCAGCCGTTAAGAGGATTGTGAGCGGACTTTTGTAGGGGCAGAAAGGTGTGATGCCTTTCCTCATCCATCATCCTCAACCAGCTGACACTCCTAGAAGCAAAGACAGGTTAAGAAGGGAAAAACATAACAAATCTATTTAATTAAAGTTTGACATGACACAGGAAACTTCAGAAATGAAGACCCAAACATCCAGGGAAAACTGTCCATTTGCATACTTACATTCAATGAAGAATGGATAGCCACAGAGAAATTTGACTGGGAAAAAAGGACTATGATCTGATGGTAACAGACTGAGAGGGAAACCCAGCAAGGCCCGTCTATTCAGATTCCTCTTGGCCTCTCTGTACAGCATTCCTTCCTCCAGGAAAAGGGCAAGACCCCGCTGGAACAAGCGTCTTATGACATACTATCAGACAAGGACGGTCAGAATTTGTTTATGGCCAGCTCCTGCACAGAAAGGCAGGGGAAGGAAGGTTAGAGTAATATTTCTAGGTTTTATGGCTTGCTTTGGGGGAGAGGGGTTCTAGTTTTAAGACCTGCCTTGGGGAAAGAGGAATTCTGGTTTTTATGGCACACTTGAGTGGAAAAAGAGGGGCAGGAGACAGGGGGCAAGAGAAAGTCAGAGAGAGACTTCAATTCTGAGGCTGCTTCTGAAGGCTTCCAATCTCCTGTTGTTTAAACTACTCAGCAGCAGCCCAAAGCACCATATTTAGGGGTCTCATTTTCTGAACCCAAACATTTGCATTTTAACAGTATCACTCTATCTTGGTGAGAGCAGGCTGAGGAGGGAGAAAGTTGGGAGGCTGCTGACAATGCAAGTGACAAATGATGGTGGCTTGGATGGAGAGAGTGAAGGTGGTGAGAGTATTCAGATTTCAGTATTTTGAAGTTAAGTCAACAAGATTTCCTGACAGTTTGGAGGTGGGAGGTGAGAGAGAGGGAGAAGCTGGGAATGACACCCAGGTTTTTGGCCTGAGTGTCTGGAAGAATGGAGTTGCCATTTACTGAGATACCCGTGGGAGGGAACAGGTTTGGAGGACAGGAGCTCACTGTTGGACATGGTGCATCTTAGATGCCCACTGGAGACCTAGATGGAGATGAGTAGGTGCCCAATAAACAGTTCTGGAGTTCAGAGGAGAGATCTGGCAGGAAACACAAATGTGGAAGTCATTAACATAAAGATGGTATTTTTTTTTTAAGCCACAGAATTGTATGAAATCATCAAGGGAGTGAAAGCAGTTTAAGAAGAGAAACCTAAGGACCATGCCTTGGGGCACTCCAACAATGAGTGGCCAAAGAGAGGAGGAGGAACCAGCAGGAGAAGACCAAGAAAAAACAGAGAGGTAAGAAGAAATCCGGAAGAATGTTTCAAGGAAGAAGGAAAGATTGTGTCAAATGCTTCTGATTGGTCAAGGAACAAGAGGACTGAAACTTAACCCATCAGATAAAATAAGAAATGCTTAATAAAATAGTTCTCTTGCTTAGTTTAGATGTGTTCGTTTAGACTTCTCAACTAATTACAAGCCTGAAAAGGGCAGGAGTTTTTGTCCCAGAGACCTGTCTCCTACTCCCCTTGCACCACCATGCCTCTCTTCCCTTCTCCCCTACACCCTCACCTCCTACCCCAATCCCCAGACACCTCCACTCTGGCTTTGCTGAGGTCTGAAGGTTGACTTAGCAACCAAGGGACCCTTGAGCCTGAGCTGCAGCACCAGAACAATGTCTTAGGTGAGTCATTGCTTCCCAGATTTGGCAAAGGGAATAAGTTACCACCACCTCTCTGAAACAAAGAGGATGGAACGGATAAACTGGGGGTGGTGGAAGGGGAAGATATGGACACCTATGTAAAGGGAAGACAAATTTTGCTTTTAAAAAATGCCTGCGGCAATTTTTTTTGTTGTTGTTCTAAAGAAGCAAAGGAATTTATCTTGGGGCTGCATGGTTCCTTGGTTTAGGTCACTAATGAGTGTTTTCTAGTTGGATCCATCCTGCAGCCTAGACTAGGGTATAGGTTGAGAACCAAATTCCTCTGCACTGAGTCTTTCTTTCCTTGGCAGGTGAGGGAGACAGGCGTGTCAGAGCCTGGGAACTGGGAGAAGAGAGATGGGAGAAAGATGGCTGGCAAAAAATTCCCAGGGGTGGGGCCGGGCTGAGGAACCTGTTTTAAGAGAAGTGAGGGCTAACATTATCTTTTTAAAATATTGAAGTATATAACAGATAATACAGAAATGTGCACCACTTGAAGAATTTGCACAAACTCATCACATCCATGTGACCAGCGCTCAAGTCAAGCAAGACGACATCACCAGCACCCAGGGAGCCCTGATGTTCTTTTCTAGTCACGACTCTGCCCAAGGGCAGTCACTATCCTGACTCTGAACAGCATGGACTAGTTTTGCCTGTTTATATACCTTCTACAGATGAGTCTTGCCTTTTAGCATCTGGCTTCTTTCACTCAACATTACATTTGCGAGATTCACCCACACTGTCGCAGGCAGTCATAGATCTTTCATTCTCAATGTTGCACACTCTTCCATTATATGATTATAACACAATGCAGCCTTTCTATTGTTGATGGACATATAAGTTGTTTCCATTTGGGGACCATTACAGATGGTGCTGCTATGAACATATGTAGACATGTCTAACACATTCAATTCCTCCTCCCAACAGTTTATTTTGAAATTTTTCAAACATATAGAAATAACTGTACAGTGAACATCTATCTAGGAACCACTTATATTCTAAATTAAAATTGTATTATATTTGCTTGATTGTTTATCCATCCTGTACCCATCCATCGATCTTTCACTTTACCCATTTCAAAGTAAATTGTACACAGCAGTATACTTTACCCCAAAACATTTCAGAATCATTGACAAAAGTTGAATGTTTATTTATGAGTTTTCCTTTGAGGGAAAAGTTATACAAAGTGACATGCACTTATGTTAACTGCACCATTCGATGAGTCTGGAAAATGTATGTACCTAGCTAACCTATATGCCTATCAACATATAAAATGTTATCATCCAGAAGGTTCCTGCTTACACCTACCCAATTTCCTCCACAATCATTATGCTCTCATTTTGTTTACCATAGATCAATTCTGCCAAATTTAGAACTTGATATGAATGCAATCATACAAGATGTGGTCTCTTGCCAAACGCCTCTCTCGCTCAGCATGTTTTTGAAATTCATGTATGGTGTTGCATGAATAACGACTTTGTCCCTTTTTATTGCTGAGTAATAGTCCTTTGTATGAATAAACCATAATTTGGTTATACATCATCCTGGTGACTGACATCTGGGACGTTTCCAGTTTGGGGCCTTATGAAGAAAAATGCTATTAACATTTTTATACTAGTTTTTTTATGGACACATGCTTTCGTTTCTCTGAGGTAAACATCTGAAGCTGAAATTGCTGTCATAAATGTATGTTTAGTTTTACATGAAACTTCCAGAGCTTTATTTCAGAGTGGTTGTGTGATTTTACACTCCCACCAACAATACAGAAAAGTTATTATTGTTCAACATCCTTGCCAACATTTGGTGTGATCAGTCTTTTTAATTTAAGCTATTCTCGTGGGTGTGTAGTGGTTCCTCATTGTGGTTTAATCTGATAACTAATGATGTCGAGCACTTTTTCAAGTGCTTACTGGCCATTCATATATCTTCCTTGGTAAAGTGTCTGTCTGAATTTTTGCCATTTCTTATTAGGTTGCTTGTCTTTTTGCTATTGAATTACAAGAGTTCTAAGTCCTAAATACCAATCCTTTGACAGATAAAAGCTTTCTTTTTCTTTTCTTTCTTTCTTTCTTTTTTTTTTTTTTTTTGAGACAGAGTCTCGCTCTGTTGCCCAGGCTAGAGTGCCATGGCATTAGCCTAGCTCACAGCAACCTCAAACTCTTGGTCAGGCAATCCTTCTGCCTCAGCCTCCTGAGTTGCTGGGACTACAGGCATGCAACACCATGCCCAGCTAATTTTTTCTAGTATACTTTTTTGTTGATCAATAATTCTTCTATTTTTAGTTAGAGATAGGGTCTCGCTCTTGTCAGGTGGTCTCGAACTCGCTGACTCGAGGCGACCTCCCGCCTCAGCTCCAGAGTGCTAAAGATTAAAGCGGTGGAGCCACACACTCAGTGATAATGCTTTCTTTTTTTTTTTTTTTTGAGACAGAGTCCGCTTTGTTGTCAGGCTGAGTGAGTGGCCGTGGCGTCAGCTATGCTAACAGCAACCTCAAACTCCGTGAGGTGATCCTTCTGGCTCAGCCTCCCCGAGTAGCTGGACTACAGGCATGTGCCACCATGCCCGGCTAATTTTTTTTATATATTATCAGCTGCCAATTAATTTTTTCGTTATTTATGTGAGACGGGTCTCGCTTGCTCAGGGCTGGTTTGAACTCCTGACTTGAGCAATCGCGCCTCGGCCTCCCAAGATCTAGGATACAGGCGGAGCCACACGCCCGGCCTTTTTTTTTTTTTTTTTTTTTTTTTGGACCAGATCTCACTTTGTTGGGCCCCAGCCTACGAGCTGAGTGCAGTGGCGTCAGCAACCTCAAACTCCTGGGCTCCAAGCAATCCTTCTGTTCTCACGCCTCTCCGAGTAGCTGGACTACATGGCATGCGCCACACATGCCTGGCTAATTTTATAGTATACACATTATATATATATATGTGTATATTATATATATATATATTAGTTGGCCAATTAATTTCTTTCTATTTACAGTAGAAATGGGGTCTCGCTCTTGCTCAGGCTGGTTTCGAACTCCTGACCTCAAGCAATCCGCCCGCCTCAGCCTCCCAGAGTGCTAGGATTACAGGCGTGAGTCACCACACCTGACCTGATAAATGCTTTCTTTACAAATAATGTCTCCCAGTCCATGGCTTGCCTATTCATTTTCTTGAGTGTCTAAAAAAAACTTTGCTTACCACCAAGTAACAAAGATATTCTCCTAGATTTTCTTTAGAAGCTTTATAATTTAAGCTTTATAATTTACATTTAGGTCTATGATCTATCTCAAATTAATTTTTGTGCATTGTTTGTTTGTTTGTTTTAGAGACAGTATCTCACTCTGTTACCCAGACTGGAGTGCTGTGGTGCAATCACAGCTCACTGCAGCCTGGAACTCCTCAGCCTCCCAAGTAGGTAGGACTACAGGTGTGTGCCTCCATATCCAGCTAAGTTTTCTATATTTCTTTTAGAGATGGAGTTGTCAAGATTGGTCTCAAACTCCTGGCCTCAAGCAGTCCTCTTGCCTTGGCCTCTCAAAGTGCTAGCATTACAGCATTACACCTGGCTGTGTTTTTGTGTATAGTAGAAAGTAAAGTTTAAGGCTTTTTTGTTTTTTTAAATATAGACATCCAGTCGTTCCAGCATCATTTGTGGAAAAGATTTTCATTTTTGTATTGGCACTTTTGTCAAAAATTAAATGACCACATAAGTGAATTCTACACTATTTCCATTAACCTGTCGGTCTTCATGATAGAATCACATTTTCTTGATTACTGTAGCTTTACAGTAAGCCTTGAAGTCAGATAGTCAGAAGTCAGATAAGTCCTTCTAATTTTCTTCTTTTTTTCTTTCCATATTGTTTTGGATATTCTAGGTCCTCCAAATAAATCTTAAAATCAGTTTAGCATTTTTAAAATGAAAGCAGGAGAAGATAGAGATGATGCAAATTATCCTAAGGTTCATGGGGTGAGGCTGAAGCCCCTTATTTGCATGTTGCATGGGACCTCAGCAATGTGGAGCATGGGAAGAAGTTTAGTTCAATTTGGCAAGTGTTAAAATTAAGTGCTTAATGTGTACTTTCAGACATCTTCCTTTTCAATCAAAGAATGGGAGGACTCTACAGGAAGACCCCCACCAAGACCACCACCATCACTGAGTCTACCAGGTCTGCTGACTCTATGATACTACATGGAAAAGTTGCTTACCAGCCATATGCTGCCAGGTGTGCCCCCATGAGCAGGTAAACATTTCAAAACAGAGAGAGTTGAAAAAAGCTTCCTCTCACACACCATCTGATTCCTGGGAAAGACAACTTTTCCTGAGACACGTGTTGCTCAGGTCACCAGAACCAGGCACATTTGGGGCAGGTTGTATGGGAGATGCTTCTAGATTTCCCTAGGAAGGAGTCATGCAGATCTGCAGGCCAGAACTAGGGTAAGTCAAGTGCAAAATTTAAGGGGATACCAAAAAAACTCAATGATCAAGGTAAATAGTGTTTTAATGCAATATTTTTAAAAAAACAAAGTTAATGCAAGAAAAACCTTTGATGGACAAAATATTGAACTTTTAAACAAGACAGACTGACCGTATTCTCACAACTCACATCACTTGCCTCCCCCTAATCCTAGCCCTATTGGATCCTGCCTTTACTTAAAATGTTGGTGTTTTATTCATTGTGGATTTTTTACATTGATTTTGATTTTTTTTAATATTGCATAAAAATGGCACTTATCTTGATTGCACACCTTTAAATTTATACTTGCTTCACCCTAGTCTCAGCCTGGAACATCAGTATGGACCTCTTTAAAATCTGCCCTGTGGCTGGGCGTGGTGGCTCGCATCTGCAATTCTAGCACTTTGGGAGACTGAGGTGGCAGGATTATTTGAGGCCAGGAGTTTGAGACCAGCCTGAACAAGAGTGAGACCCCATCTCTATAAAAATTAGAAAAATTAGCTGGCATGGTGGCCAGAACCTACAGTCCCAGTTACTCGGGAGGCTGAGGCAGGATCACTTGAGCCAGGAGTTGGAAGCAGCAGCGAGCTATGATCAAGCCACTGCAGTCACCCCTCATTCCCCTATGCCAACCC